AAAGAGTGTTGGAACACAGACCTGGCATGTTTTCTAATTTGAGAAATGCATCCTGCCAGAAAATGTTTTTCTTCATTAATGAAACATAGGGATATCTTTTATTAAAATGCTAGGTGTGTTGCTTAGATCAATAATAATCTTTCATTAGATTATTCCCTTTCTCATTCTAATCACCTAATGTGAGATCTAAAAAAATACATTGTATCCTTAGAAAAGGCTTTGATTTAAGCTTTAAAAAGTATGTGTACATATACTTGCCTCTGCAAATATGCCTATTAATATTCCTATATCTGTTTATTTGTATATATAAATATATGTTTATGTATCACTATTTGTATATATTTCTCTATTTATTAGAATAAGCCTACTTGACAACAGACATCTTGTATGTCTTGTTTCCTGCTTTATCCCCCAAGGTCCTAGAAAAATTCCTGAATATAGTAGATGACCAATAAGTATTTGTAAATGAATTAATAAATTCTGAAAAATAAGCAAGGCAAGCCTTTTATTCCTAAATTTCTAAAAGAAGAAATAGAAGCCCTAAGAGCTATACTGACTTGCTGCTGAGTCTATAGCCAGCCCCTGAATTCAAAACCTCCAACTGCTGTATGAGGGTGTTTCTCCCCTCTGCATCATGATATGATGAGTGACAGCTCAGAGACAGAAGTCCTGAGCTAGACCTCTGCTTCTTTAATCTTCCATGGTCTTTGTTGGGAGTTAAAGCTACATGCTTTTTAAAAGTCTCTCAATAAATATTTGATGAGTGGATGAAGTCAGACAAGATGTCTTCGGAGTGAATAAACTGGGCTTATTGATGTGAGAAAAAGCAACCCAGTAGCTAAACTGGTCTTTCTCCCAAAACATATTTAACAAGATGGACTTTTGGCCAACAGTTTTCATTGCTGTCAGAAAATGGATGACAGCGCTCAGTTGGAAAGCTATCGATAATCCCTACTCATCCAAATGACAGTGGAATATCTTTGGCCATGAATGAGCTTGCTGAATGCTTAAGGCAAGTGTTGATCTATTTCCATCTAGATGGGTAGGCAAAAAGCTATAACCACAAATTTATGGCATAGAGTTTATAAGATATGAGGGCTTTATAGTGTGCTATTACTATTGCTTTACAGATTTGGGTTTTCAAACCCAGCAGTTAGGGTCATATTTCCTCCCTCTTGGGTCTTTAGTCTGCCATTGGGAAATGCTGTCAGAAAAAGATCATGATGCTTCTTTGGTTATATCTTTATTGGCTGAATCCTCAGAGTATATGAGAAGCACTAGGGGAACTTGTTACAATTCAGATTGTCAGGCCCCACTCCTAGAACTTTAGAATGCAGAATGTTGAGAAATCGAAGAATTCTAAACTTCAAGTGATTCTGAAACAAATGATCTGAAGAACAGAATTATAGATCTGACTTAGCCAACTTGCATGCATATCTATTATATTCTTTTTAAAAAACAATGTTAGCCACTGACAAGTGAGATAAGTAAGAAACAGCTATTCTCATACAGCTCTGCCACCATGGAGTAGTGAATGGAAGCCCCAGACAGGGTCTGGGGCACATATAGACATTTATTAAATGAACATTTATTAGCAAGCTGGAACAACACTGTTAATACAAACTCCTCTGTCAGCTCAATGAAGTCTTAGCTCTCTGACTTGCCTTACCTTGAAGAAACTGTTTTCTTCAGGCAGCTGTAGCAGTATTTCAGAGGCAGGATTCAGCTATACCCAGAGCCAGTGCCAGGCAACAGAAAGCCTCCTAAGCTAATAGCTGGCACAGGTTCACTGATCCAGAATCCAGAACCGTCTCCACCGCTTCAGGTCACAGACCTCACTGGAGTCTTATACCATTTTCACACAGGCTGTGAGTGTTTCTAAAAGATGTTTTGCCAAACTACATAACCTTAATATATTTAATTTCACCACTGAGATCTCTTTCCTAACATTTATCTACCATTTATGCTAATTAAGAGACCGCTATTTTTACCAAAGAAAACCCAACTTGACATTCAGAAAGTTGATGAGAGGAATAGATAGCAGAAATCCTGGAGTAGTCATGTCTGGAGTGGCTGCAGTGTTTCTGAGAGCATGCTCACGACTACCTCTGGCACGTGGCTGCCTGATTAGAATGATAGCCGCTTCTGGACTGTAACTTAAAACACACACACACAACTTCATACTGTCTGTGCTGAAAATTTAAAGTAAGTTGTAGATGTTATAATGATGACATCTTAAGAAATATTAGTATAGTGGAAAGGAGAATTGACTTTGTTCTAAAATAAGAACTTTGAATCATACACACCGAATTTGGGACGGTGGCTTCTCTTAGTTGATAGGTCATTTTAATAATTTATCTTTCTTTATCTATTAAAAGGCAATAGGATCTGTTCTGTGAACATTACACAGCATCACCTGTTAACCCCAGGGTCTGACCCCAGGGTTTCATGCTAAATGCCTTTCCAATTCATCTGGGGTCTTTTCTTAAACTCCCTTTGAGACAGCCTCTTCCAAGGAAAATTTCAGATTTCAGGTCATGTGCTCATCTAAGGCCTCTCACCAACTGCTTGGCTACTCAAAGCATTTCTTCCTCCTTAGTCAGTAAAAATCAGATTGTTTTCCCGCTGGGTGAAAGCCTTACATAAAGGTGTTCTGCCCTTAACCATGTCCACAGTTTGCTTCTTTTGAAGTAAGTCCTGGCCACACAGCTGCTTTTGCCACCACAGGCATGGCTGTGCCCACCAGTGTGGAGCCTTCTCTCTCCACGCCTGCACCATGCTCACGCCAGGAAGGCTCTTAGTTCTCCTCTGTAACACTCTGAATCAGACGTTTATGCTCTAAGAATTATCTTGCCTTGTTTTTTCTTGGGAATAAACAGAAAAAGAAAGATTATTCATTTGGGAATGTTTCCTCAAGGAAAGTTATTTTAGCTGCTTTACTTTATTTCTCTATCTCCCAACTTGAATTCCTTTTGATAACACTTCATTAATTTTAATACTCAAAAGAATTCTAAAGAAAATAATTCAATTTATTATTGGCTGCTTACCTGGGAATTGGCTTTCTGATTTCTGATACAGGCCAGGGCCCTTGATCATGAGAGAGTAGAAAGATTTTTAAACTTAAAAATTTCTTTAGGTTTGGTATTTTGATCATTTGTTTCAATTTAAAAGGAAGAGGAGCTGTGGGCTGAAGAGGAGGGGTAAGAAAGATCCAGTCTTGTTGCAAGGGGAGTTCTAAGGAGCACACTGGGGGGGGGGCAGCTCTCAAGAAAGTGCCAGATTAGGTGGAGGTGACCAGAGAGATGGGGGGCATTGGGAACTGGCCAGAGTCTGATAGGAATGGAATTAATAGAGTTTAATAAAAGGGAACATCCCTTCCCAGCTACAAATCTAGGCTTACCAGTATATAGCCTTTTACTCCTCATTGAAATAGAGCATGAATTTTAAATAGTTATTAGATTGCTATGTAAATATGTTACTGACCAGGGTTTTTGGACTCCTTAATCAGTAGAAATTGATCAGAGACCAGACAAGAAATTCAGACAAGGCTTTACTGGGGCCCCTGCTGCAGCAGAGGGGGAACGAGAACAAAAACGGGTTCCTTTGCTCGCTCCTGAGGTGGGGAGAGCTGGTTCCTCATATGGGGTGAGGGGAGGGGT